GGGGTCTGTGGGGGTAGAGAGTGCTGCAGGGCGAGCAGGATGTTTGTGAAGAGATAGTAGGTTAGGTGAGGGCATGGAGGAGGACAGTTAAGCAAATCAGAGGCTGAAGCATAACGGTTACTGAGTGTTCCCTCTTAGGCAAGACCAGAAGGTCAATGTCTCTTGATATCCTCCTCAACTAGCAAATGAGAAAACTGTCAAAGCCATTTTGGGAAAGGAAAGTCACATCCTTTGAGGGGAAATAAAACAACTGATTTATTCTGGCCCACACAATCTACGTGGTATGTTGGAAGAAATTAAGAGGTGAGATGAAGCTGGAACCATTGTGTACCTGTCATCCTAGCACTTAAGAGGCAGAGGTAGGATTAGGAGTTCAAGGCAGCCCTTGGTTACATGAGACCCTGTCTCAAAAACAATGGCAGCAAAAGAGGTAGGATGGAGACTGGGCCTGAAGTGAGGCTGGGCTGGGAGGACGGGCAGGGCAGGGGTGGGGGGAGTAAGGGAGTATTCCCTTATGCCTAGAGTAACGAGTGCTGGGCCAGTCACAATCTATTCTAGTGGGTACTCTTAGGTTGGTTTTTTGTTTGTTTTTAGCATTTTGCCATTTTCCTAGAAGATTCCCTCCTGCCAGGGCCATAATACCAGAATAAAAATGACCAGCAAGCATTGACCTTACAACACGAGGGCTTTATGATTTAAAATATACATATCTCGCAACCAAGCATCTCCACTGTTTTGTGTTTGCTTCTTGCTTGTTTTAATAAGTTCTACTTTCCTCAGGAAGCCAGAATCATATTGGGAAAGCTTTAATTATAGTGGGCAAGAAGAAAGCGCAAGCACAGCAATCAAGACCACCCCAGGAGCAGCTGCTGCCTCCTCCCTGGCCAGGCTGCTTCTCCTAGCCAACAGTCCTCATCCCTCAGGGCTCCATCAGGCCTAGCTGGCCTCAAAGCCAAGTTCTGGCTTCCAGGGGCAATGCCCCACTGAAGCTTAAAAAAAAAAATCTAAAATATCTGTTTTGCATTTGTTAGTGGGTCAGGCAGAAGAAATTCTACCCACGTCAGCTTCTTGGGTTTATTTAACTCAACTCATTTCTCCCAGAAGCTTTGCCTTTGAGTTAGGTGCTTGACCTAACTCAGTGCTTAACCCTTCATCATTCTGGTAAGCTGTCACTAGACAAAAATTGCTGACCTGGTTTATTTCAAAGAAATAAGATATCATGGGTTCAAGGCCAGAGAGATGCTCTCAGTGGTTAAGAGTACTTGTTCTTGCACAGGATTCAGGTTCCCTTCCCCAGATGGTGGCTTACAAACATCCATATCCCCAGTTCCGGGGATCTGAGCCCTTTTCTCCTCCCCCCCCAACACAAAATAAAAATAGTAAGTTTTTTTAAAGACTCCATGGATTTCAGTCTCATCAGATGCTTCCCCAGCTTTGCCCAGACTACTGACTCCCCTTGCTTCATTTCCCATTCCTGCTCTGCTTTCTTGCCTTACAAACTCCCATTCAGGGGCCTGGAAGATGCTCATTGGGTAAAGTCACTTGCCACCAAGGCTGATGACCTGAGTTGGTGCCTCCTGGAACCCACATGGTAGGAGAGAACTGACCCATGCAAGTTGTCCTCTGACCTCTACGCCAACTGTATGGCACAGTCTCACACAATAAATAAAAATATTTAAGTGTTTGTGTGTGTGTTCAGGTCAGAGGGCAACTTGCAGGACTTAGTGTGTGTGGGTTTATGGGTTCATGAGCCATAGTGTACACGTGAAGTTGGTCAGGGGACAGCTGCAGGGAGTTCCTCCTTCAGTGCCTGGGTCCTGGGGATAGAATTTGGGTCATCAAGTTTAGGGGCAGGTGTCTTTACCTGCCGAGCCATCTCTCCACATCATCCCTCTCCCCAACTGAAAAAAAAAATCCACTTTGGGTAGTAGGAGGGTGTAGCTCAGTTAGAAAATGTGTGCTTATATGCATGAGTAAGGCTATGAGAAAGGGAAAAAAACAATAAAATAGTAGTTTAATCCACATAATCTGTTTACTTTTGTTTGTGTAGTGTGTTTGAGTCTATGTGCTAGTGTGAGCCCATATTCAGGTGGCTATGCATTGGAAGGCCAGAAATCAGACTCAGCAGCCATCCCTTGGGAGCTGGTCACCTTAGTTTTTGCGTCTCTCTCTCTCTCTCTCTCTCTCTCTCTCTCTCTCTCTCTCTAGTACTTCACAGATTAGGTTCCTAGGGCTGGCTAGCAAGCTTCAGGGATCTGCTGCCTCCACCTCCACAAGGCTGGAGTTATACATGCAAGGCCATGCCCAGCCTTGTGTGGGTGCTGAGGATGGAACTCAGGTCCTCTTGCTTAAGCAGCAATCTCTTTATTAAGTGATCCATTTTCCCAGTCTTACTTCACACAATTTAAATAAAAAACAATCAATAAACCAAGCACTGCTTGTGGATTTATTTATTGATTTTCAAGACAGGGTTTCTTTGTGTAATAGTCCTATCTGTCCTGGAACTCACTCTGTAGACCAGGCTGGCCTCAGACTCACAGAGATCCACCTGCCTCTGCCTCCCAAGTGCCAGGATTAAAGGCGTGCGCCACCAACACCCAGCTTGCTTGTGGATTTTAACAAGAAGAGGTTACCACTCACTGGGAAGTATTCAGAAAACTTCTATCTCAAAGGAAATAATGAAGAGTGAGAAAGACCTAGGGACACATCAGAGATAGGGACAGGAAAGTAACAGACGAACATGGAGGTAGCAGAGAACAATGGATAGAGACAAGGCAGAGCTGGACCAGGGGTTTGGGGGGAGGGAGGAGGTAAGAAGACTGAGAACTGCGACCAGAGTGTGGAAGCTAATGCACTGTGAAACATGTTCCCCTGGAGACAGATACATTCTCTAGCCACACATAATGACACATGCCCCTGTGTGTGCTGTCCCTGTACTGTCACTGTCACTTACACTCTGCAAGAAGCTGTGTCAACATTGTTTGTGAAAAGTTGGAAAGGTTTGTAGATTTGTAGTCCTCTTTCTTCCTTCCTTCCTTCCTCCTTCCTTCCCTCCTTCCTCCTTCCTTCCTTCCTTCCTTCCTTCCTTCCTTCCTTCCTTCCTTCCTTGTTGTTTTGCTTTTTGGTTTTTAGAGATAAGGTTTCTCTGTTTAACAGCTATGGCTGTCCTGGAACTTGCTCTGTAAACCAGCCTGACCTTGAATTCACAGAGATCCACCTGCCTCTGCAGCCTGAGTGCTGGGATTTAAATCGTATGCTATCTTGCTTGGCCCAAACTTTATGCTTTTGAGGTATATTTGGATGTTAAAATAAGTCTTCTCTCCTCCTGCCTTAGTATCTCTTGGTCAAACATAGCACCCACATAACTATTCCTTTTTTCTTTTCTTTCTTTTTATTTTTAATAATTTTACTTTTAATTTATTTTTATTTTATGGACATTGGTGTTTGCCAGCATGTATATCTGTGTGAGGGTGTTGGGTCTCCTAGAACTGAAGTTACAGACAGTTGTGATGTGGGTGATGGGAATTGAACCTGGATCCTCTGTAAAAGCAGTCAGTGCTCTTAACTAATGTTCTAGCTCTCTAGCCCCCATATTTTTACTAAATAGAAGGGGAATGGAGGAGAGAGGGAAAGAGAGAACAAGGAGAGGAGGGCCCCAGGGGGCCAGCCACCTAGCCAGACATGGAGTAAGAAGGAAAGTAAAATATATAGAAGAAAGATAAAAGCCCAGAGGGAAAAGGTAGACTGGTTAATTTAAGAAAATCTGGCTAGCAACGAGCCAAGCTAAGCACTGGCATTCATAAGTAATAATAAGACTTCATGTGTGATTTATTTGGGAGCTGGGTGGGGCACCCCTCACAAAGGCCAAAGAGCCAAAAGAGCAAAAACAACAACAAAAGTACTTGATTTTATCCTTGGGGATCAAGATCTAGGGGATGCTAGGTGTGGTGGCACATACCTTTAATCCCAGCACTTTGGAGGGGCAGAGGTAGGTGAATCTGAGTTCAAAGCCAGCCTAGTCTACAGAGCAAGTTATAGGACAGCCAGAGCTACACAGTGAAACCCTGTCTCAAAAACCCAAAACAGAAAAGGAAGCTGGGCGTTGGTGGCGCATGCCTTTAGTCCCAGCAGGCAGATCTCTGTGAGTTCGAGACCAGTCTGGTCTACAAGAGCTAGTTCCAGGACAGCTTCCAAAGCCACAGAGAAACCCTGTCTCGAAAAACCAGAGAGACAGACAGAGACAGAGACAGAGAGAGAGACAGAGAGAGAGACAGACAGAGAGAGAGAGAGAGAGAGAGAGAATGAGAGAGAGAGAGAGAAAGAAAAAAGAACTTAGTGCCCAGCAGGGGAACATCGCTCAGTCGGTGAAGGCCGCCAAACCTGGGGACTTGGCTTTTATCCTCTGGACACACAAGGTGGAAGAACCTACTTCTGCAAATTGTCCGGTGATCGCCCACCACACTGGCGCTGAGCACGCGAGCGCCCCACACATAGCTATACACGTGTATTGCGTGTGTGTGCCCGCGCGTGTGCGTGTGTGCGCGCGCGTTTTCGAACAAGTAGGTGTGGTGAGACCAGTTTATGAATCGCTTAGAATCCAGGTTTAAGGCACGGTCCACGTGCAAGGAGACATTTCGGTTTATTCAGGATACGGTTTTAGTCCAGTAAGGGAAACTAGCTCAGGCTGTTCAAGAACAAGCCCCAAGGTGTAAGGCCCGGGTTAGGCTACTTTGCCTTTCACGCGGACAATGTTGTATCATGCATGTTCATGGTTGGCCCAGAGACACTGCTCTGGGAAACCAAGGGTTGAGGCCCACGCCCCCAGCCCTGACGCCCAACCCCAGCTAAAACGAGCTACTTGGCCGAGTTTGGCAAAGTCAGAGGGCGCTCACTCACAGGGTTGTTTTCCTGGGTCTGGCTTTACAGGGAAAAAGCGAGACACGAAAGGTGAGCGGAGGGTGGGAAGGGAAAGGACCCCGAGAGTCCTTCTTTTTTGCACACACACGAATACAAAGAGCCATACGACCTTCGGGTATCCTTTTTCCATTTTTTTTTCGCCTTCATCTTGTGTGTGTTTTCAGATTTTTTTAAAAATTGAGATCTGTGGCAGTGCTGGGGTGAGGAAGCTGTTGCTAAGGGGAATTTGCTCTTTTCCCCATTTCTTTTTCTGTCTCTCTTTCTCTTTCTTTTTCCTGGTCAAGGTTTAAAAATATACCAAGTTGAGAAGCAGGAGGATCGTGTGCAACTGTTTCCAGACAAATTTACAGAGAATTTTTTTTTCTTTTTGCTATCACATTTTAAGAACTGGTAAATTTTGTGCTTGAAGGATTTTGAATTTTAGTCGCTTGGGGAAGTATAGATTTGTTTTTAATCGGGCTAAAGGGATAATGTAAATTTCTACCACAGGCAACAGAGAGATTTGAGGCGCCCTGACAAAGCCTTCTGGCATGCATTTTACACACAGTCCCTCAGAACCAAAACCAATTGGCCTGATTGTGGCAAGTGTGCAAGACCAATGGATTAAATATACTGGGGTATTATAATTGGACACTCATTTCCCTGGAGAGAAGGGAAAACCCTCTGACGGTGTGTCTTGCACATACAATTTCATGAGGATGTGTGTGTGTGTGGGTGTGTGTGTGTGTGTGTGTGTGTGTGTGTGTGTGTGTGTGTGTGTGTGTGTGCTTAAAGCAAACCACTTCGTATGGATTTATTCCTTATGTATATGTAAAGTATGTGTATATGTGCCATATCAGATTTTATTTTCCAAGTGTTTTCCTTTGGTTTTATGTGTGTAAAACAAACCCTAGGATGTAAATTTTTTTCCTCTTGTGTTCCTAAATGTGATCAAAACAGGATTTCATATGCCAAGTAAAGCTTAGAGGAAATCCCACACTTAGCATACTTAAGAACTTTCATCCTATTGGAATTTACCTTATTTTCTGCTCCTCTTTTGATCAGATTAGTGAATAATTAAGTAATTGCCCAAAAGCATGCAGCTAGTCTGCTTGGCTGATGATGGGAGGGAAGTTATTGAATCTGTAGCTCCTAGAGCCTCCTTGAGTGACTTTTAAGTGCTTTTGCCTTTTTATTATTGTTGCTTGTTCTCAAATGTACAGCTGGGTAATATTTGGCCTCTATCAGTGGTTTTGGGGAGAGGTGTTCAAAAGGGAATTTTCTGGCTTTTGGACAAAATTGTCTTTTTTATTAGTTGGGATTTGTTTGAAAAACTCCACAGGTAGAAAAGTGTGGGTGAAAATAGTCCAGTTATCGAACTGTTTAGGGTAGGGGCAAGAGGAGGCAAACACAAAACCTAGGAGGGATAAAAATACAACTCGATTATCCTTTTGCATTTTTTGAATGCAAAGCTCTCCCCACATCTTCAAATCTTTGGAAAAAAGAGAGTGCACAAAAGGACTATTGGGGGGGGGGGCAGAGCCTCTCCTTCCCAGAGGGGCGGTGTGGTGGGACAGGCTAATTGGGAGTTACACTGGATACCTGTATCCAGTCTGTATTTGAAGATTGTGTGAGAATGTTAGTATATGTGGATGGAGATCAGGGAATGTCACAATTGTTGTAACCAGGAGAGCGAAGCTCAAATTTTCACTACAAGACGTCTGAATTCCTTAGCTAAATGTTGTATGGAGACAGTGTTTTAAGAACACCTAAACAACACCTGCAGTAAAATTTGTACCAGCTCTTAAATTCTTAAGGCAAATGGCTCTGCTTGGAATCTCTAGACTTCCTATTTATAATAGTATTTTTATTTCCCAACAATTCAAGTCAGATTGGTGCACAATAAATACTAGCTCCATTCGGACCTTCTGTAAGTCTAGACATGCATTTCTTTGACATGTAGCTATTCTAGCGACCTTAATGATCGCAGCAATGATGGTAATTTTATGTTAAACGCCTTTTAAAGTCTCAGGCACCACTGCAGGGTGTCACCTAACTTAGCTCCTCAGAGAAGGGAGAGCATTCTTCAGAGTAGTTGCCTGCCAGCTTTGGCATTCGGCTTTTACCTGTCGCAGCCTAGGCTCATCGCCTAGGAATCCCTCCCGTGGATTGGCTTGGTTGGTTTGACAGTTTTACCAAAGCAAATCAAATCTATAGATTTTGCTGAGAATCTAACAGTAAAAGATGCAAACTGAACTAAGGAGGAACAGCTACTTTGCAACTATCATCTGAAAGATCTGTAACTAAGACAGGCAGGGACCCAAAGTCAGCCCAGCCAAATGTATGGAAACACTTTGCGGCCTCTGTACTTAGAGTCGTGTACACACAACTGTAGAGCACCACGTAACAAAAGCGAGTAAACAGAAAGCCAAGATGGCGCCTGGCGTCCTTGAAAAAGCCTCTTGGTCGTGTCCCTCCCTGAGGAGGCCCCTCCCTTCCCGGTTAGTTGAGTGACGGGGAAATCAAGCCAATAGCGTCCCAGGCCCTGCAGTCCTTTGGTTCAACGGCCTATCAACGCGAGCGGGAGGGCGAGCGGGGCGGTGCCTCCACTCCGTGTGCGCGCTCTGGCGCGTACACAGTGCCGCCTTCTCGCGCGTCTGCGGCACACGGGTGGGGCGGCCCTGGAAGCCTGGAGCTGGTCCCCGGGTGGGCTCGGCTGCCCTTGAGGTCCACTCGTGAGTCCCCGGGACCCACTCTGCTCGATGAGACGCGGCCTCGAGGGCAGGCAGACCCCCAGCCTGGAGCTGCGCCTCCCTGGGGATGCGATGCAGTCCCTGGCGCCCATCTGGGTCACCTTTCACTAATAGTCAACGTTAACCGAAGGCGCTGTGTGCACGAGATAAAAGCCTTGGGAGTTAGTTTTACATTTTTCTGTTTCTCCACAAATACAGTAAAGTCCTGTATATCAGGTATATTCTAGGAAAACGGAAATCTTAATCTTACCAAGCTGCACTTCAGCTTGTTAATTCTTTTTTTTTTTTTTAAAGACTGCTGCTATATTGATACGAAAACTCTAGTGACAAATGGAGCATAGTGGTGTACACCTCTAGCTCTCCAGAGGCTAATGCAGGAGGATTGCCACGAGTTTGAGGCCGGCCTGGTCTGCATAGTTCAAAGCCAGTGGAAGCTGGAGAGTTGGCTCCGCAGATGTATAGGCCCCTGGTTCAGCTCCCACACGCACATGGTAGCTCATAGCCAAGTAACTCCAGTCCCACGGAAACCAGTGCCCACTTCTGACATCCTTGCTCACCAAGCATGCCTGTGGTGCACATGCATATAGGCAAATACTCATATACATAAAAAAAATTCAAAAAAATTTAAGTAAAAAAAAAAGAATTATGTGCTGAACTCTGTCACAAAGGGACAGAGGGGAAAGGCATGCCCCCCACCCACACACCTACTCCCACGTGGAAAGAAAGGAAGGGAGAATGCAATTTTCAGATTGCATGGAAGGTTTTTGTTTACAAGCCCAGGCTCTTCTGGCCTTTCTGCTTTGTACCTGATAATGAGGTCTTAGATATTTTATAGATTGTTAGACTAGTCACTCTTTTTTTTTGTTTGTTTGCTTGTTTTTCCAGACAAGCTTTCTTTGTGCACCCCCGGCTGTCCTGAAACCACCTCTAACGACCGACCAGGCTGGCCCTCTGCCTCCAGAGTGCAGGGATTAAAGGTTTGTGCCATCACCATGCAGCCTAGACTGGTCACTCTTAAAATATAGGGAAAGTGTATTTTATGGTAACTGCTCACTTGGTGTTGTGTGATAACTCATTTCTGATAGGAACAGGTTTTGGTTTTTTGTTTTGTTTTGTTTTTTAAGGATTTACTTATTATGTATGCAGTGTTCTGTCTGCATGTGTCCCTGCAGGCCAGAAGTGGGCACCAGATCTCATTACGGATGGTTGTGAACCATCATGTGGTTGCTGGGAATTGAACTCAGGACCACTGGAAGAGCAAGCAGCCAGTGCTCTTAACCTCTGAGCCATCTCTCCAGCCCCTTCTTTTCTTTTTTGTGTGTTTTTTTTTGGCTTTGGTGTTGGTAGTTATTGTTGTCGTCTTTGGTGTTGGTATGTGTGAGACAGGGTTTCTCTATATAACAGCTTTGGCTGTCCTGAAACTCGCTCAGTAAACCAGGCTGTCCTCAAACTCACAGAGACCCACCTGCCTCTGCCTCCTGAGTGATCATTTTTTGTTTTTGTTTTTTTGTTTTGTTTTTGTTTTTCGAGACAGGGTTTCTCAGAGTAGCTTTGGAGATTAAAGGTGTGCTGTGTGTGTTATTTTTTATTCTGTCTAGACGTCACCCTTACTGTGTAGTGGAGGATGACTTTGAACTTCTAATCTTTTTGCCTCCACCCCCAGGTTCTGGGATAATTGGGGGATAATACCGTGAGACTCAGTCTTATTTAACACTGGCGATTGAACCCAAGGATGAGAGACAAATTTTTTTACTAACTAAGCCGAATGATCAGCCCCACCCACTGTATTTTTTTGAATTGGAGTTTTGCTGTGTACTTCATTCCAGCCTCAAACTTGATATTCTCAGGCTGTTCTTAAACTAATAGTAGTTCCTTTGCCTCTGACTCAAGAGTGCTAGGGTTATAGGTATGAGTTGCCATGCCTAGCTGAAAAGTACAGCTTCTAAATAAATTTCACATGTACTAAAATTAGACTACTAGATGTGATGGCAAATGCTTGTAATCTCAATATTGGAGAAGTAGAGGAAGGAATATCAAGCATTCAAGTTTGAATGTAGCAAGTTCAAAGCCAGCCTGGGCTGCATGACATCTTGGCTCATAGAAAAACAAAGCAAATAAAAATTAGACAATATCGAAATGACTCCTAAATATATTTTAGTAAACCTCATTTTGACATTTGTCATTTGGGTTGACTCATCATTAGTTTGGATTTTTTTGTTTGTTGGTTGGTAGTAAGATTTAATATTTTTTTTGTTGTTGTTGTTTTTGTTTTTTCGAGACAGGGTTTCTCTGTGGCTTTGGAGGCTGTCCTGGAACTAGCTCTTGTAGACCAGGCTGGTCTTGAACTCACAGAGATCCGCTTGCCTCTGCCTCCTGAGTGCTGGGATTAAAGGCATGTGCCACCACCGCCCGGCTAAGATTTAATATTTTGTCTATGCTTGGTGATACACAAATGCTTTAATTTCAGCACTCAGGATGAAGACTCAGATGGAACTTTCTATGAGTTCAAGACCAGCCTGGCTTACATATGGAGTTCCAGGACAGCCAGGACTACATAGAGAGACTCTATCTCAAAATAAATAGATAGATAGATAGATAGATAGATAGATAGATAGATAAAGAGCTTTTAGCCAGGTGGTGGTAGTGCAAGCCTTTAATCCCACCACTCAGGAGGCAGAGGCAGGCAGATCTCTGAGTTCTAGGCTAGCCTGGTCTACGAAGCAAGAAACTCTGGGTCACAAAAACAAAAAGACAGAGAGTTTTTACTTTTATGTGTTATACTTGCAAGAGTTTATGTGCACTGTATGTGTGTATCACTATGACTGTATGCAGCAGTCAGGAGAGCTGAGAAGATAGCATTGGATCCACTGGGACTAGAATTACCAATGGCCATGTGGATGCTGGGAACTGAACATTGTTCCTCTGCAAGAGCAACGAGTCCTCTTTTTTTTGGTTTTTCGAGACAGGGTTTCTCTGTGTAGCTTTGGAGCCTATCCTGGCACTTGCTCTGGAGACCAGGCTGGCCTCGAACTCACAGAGATCTGCTGGCCTCTGCCTCCCAAGTGCTGGGATTAAAGGCGTGCGCCACCAACGCCCAGTGTGCAACGAGTCCTCTTCTCCTGAACTGTCTGTCTCTCTTGCTCCAAGATAGTTTTTGTTTGTTTTTTCTTTTGGTAACTAAGGATGACCTTGTATTCTGATTCTCCCTCCTGTCTGCATCTCAAGCATGGTGGCACACACCTATAATCACAGTACTTGGGAAGTTGAGACAAAGGATTGCTGCTAGCTGGAGGCCAGCTTGGCATACATAGTGAGTTCATGACCAGTTTGGGGTACATAGCAAAACTCTTTCGTTAAAACAAAAAAACAGCTAGGTATGCCTGTGGTACCAGCATTTGAGAGATGGAGGCAGGAAGATAAAGGGTTCAAGGCCACCCTCAGCTACACAGTGAGTTCGGGGACACCTGGGTTACTTTAGCCCCAGTCTCAAAAGCAAAAAGGCAGGAGAGATGGCTCAGCTAGTGTTCATTCCTCTTCCAAAAGATCCTTTCCCAAAACCACATCTATCATGCAGCTGAGCCCCATGTAACTCCAGCATCAGGGCTCCAAGGGCATCCATACCGCTCTCTAGTGCTCTTTCTAGTGCTCTCTCTCTCTCTCACACACACACACACACACACACACACACACACACACCAATTAAAAATAAGTCTTAGCCGGGCGTTGGTGGTGCATGCCTTTAATCCCAGCACTTGGGAGGCAGAGCGAGTACCAGGATAGGCTCCAAAGCTACACAGAGAAACCCTGTCTCGGAAAAAAAAAAAAAAAAAAAAAAAAAAAAAAAAAAAAAAAAA